ATATATAATAATATAGAATATGTTATAAATTTATATATCGGTAATACTTATATCACTGAACTAAATTGTAGTGTACTGCAAAGGCTAAATTGGTTAACATTTTATAGTAGCAGCTTTTTTTCTTTATAGTAGGGTTTTAATGAATGGTTAAAATACAGGTAAAGATGGGATTTATTTATGTATGATATATCTTGCATCACATGAAGTTCAGCAAGTAGAATTTCATAGACTGGATGCAATTTAGAAGAGCTTGGGAGGCAAAAGAATGCCTCAAAAGTAAGCCAATGATATGTTTTATAAAGAATGATTCTTCTGTAATTGTAGCACTCAGCTGAATAGGAGCAGTGTTTGTTTTTGTGGGTGTACATTTAACACTCAAAAGTAGTAATTTTTACTCAATTTTAAATTTGTTGAAGGACGTGCAGATGTGTTGTTCTGGCTAGCAAGAATATATTTGAACTGTAAGAGTAGCCCATTAGTGGAAGATGATGTAAAGCATTTTTTGGTTGCAGGCTGTATTTGCCAATGCTTTATTTTCTACTGCTTCCTTTTTTGTTATGACTTTGTTTCTTATATGGAAATATTTCAGAGTATTGAGTTTGTTAGTGTGAGAAAAATTTCTTAAAATCTGTTTATTGCAGTGTCAAATACGGTTTGGAGGAAGAAAAGAAATTGCTTCAGACTCTGATAGCAGGTAAAATAGTTTAAGAAACTTCTAACATGCTTAGATTATGTATCATAATGACATAAAAATTATGGCACAAAATACTTGACATGCTCAAAAAAACCCCTGTTCTTTTATTTACACAAACACTGACATAGGACTCTGAATTTTTCATCTGGTAACAAATTTGACAGCTTAACAAAGAGCGTTCTTCTGTATGAAGTTACAAGTGTTTCAGTGGCTGCAGAGTTCATGACAAAGCATTGAATTCTGAGGTCTGAACATGGGATTGGGAGAACTTACCTTCCCTAAAACCTCTTTTAAAATTAATGCATATTTATTACTGATACACCTGTATTTCGTGAAGCTTCACACTTCAGTGTCAAGTGGGTTTAATGCATAGTCATTAGAAAATTTTCATTCTTAGTTTTTCTTATTCCTGACATGTTTTAAACCCATATTTTTCCATATGAGAAGTTGTTCCTTTTTATTAATGTAAGTAAAAAAATGTCATTTAATTCCTATTAGTTGCATTTGTTGTTGGGTATGGCATATTGGTTTCTAAGGCTTTTAAGATGACTGGCAGACAGAAATTGTAGTGCTTTTTGTATCCTATCGAGTCTTTCTTAGAATCTGTCCTAATGAAGAATCTTGGATAAATAGAACACTAGGATTAAATGCAGTTGTTTGTTGTCCTCTTTCTTATGTCCTTGAAGTTTGACTCTGCCTTTTGGGAAGAAGTTAATTATCTGTTAACCATTTATAAATGATGCATAAAATTATCTCCAATCCCTTCTCAATTCAGTCTTTAAGAACATGTCTAAGGGTGTGGTTTCATGACTTCTGGAAAGCCAACATAACAATTCATTGCTACTGAAGGGGTGGGGAGGGTTCACGTGTCTTCTCAAGGTCCCTGACTTCAGTACTGCTCCCTTCCACCAACTTTTTAAGCAATGCCTGGTGATCGTCCAGTCCCCTCTGAATTAATTTAATAAAAGAAAAATAATGCAAAAGGGTAACCTTCTGCCATTTTAGTGAGTTAGACCAGCAAAACATTTGGTGAATGCTAGAGTTGCTGCAAGGAGCGGAAGATCACGCGGCTAGAAGCAATGGGAAGTGCAGAAGAGGAGGAAGAAGCAACAAGGGATGAGAGAGCAAACCCATCTCCTTTCAGAAGCAGCTTGTAGTGCAGCTCCTGTGCATTACCTATGTGTGAAGCTCCAGGCTAATGCTACTCCATGGCAGCTTAAGCGTGTCTGACTCGGCTACTACTGTCATCCTGTCCTGCCCTTGCCTGTTTCAGCCTACAGTGTTTCGGGGAAACAGCCTTAGAGGAGTGTTCTATTGAACTAGTATAGTGGAAACAGCTCAGTACGGGATCTGTTCAGCTCAGGGTTTGTTGGACAGAAGCTGTTGCGTGGAAGGAAACAAGAAGGTGCACGTGGGACGAAGGGGTGGTGGGGCTGAAACATCTAGCAGTTGGACTGGCTGTGCAGCCATAGCTGTTGGCACAGAAGCATCAACGAGAGATAGTTAATCTTTACTGTTTAGTTTATTTGAGACAATGTATTGACGATGTTTGCCTTCGTAGTAGATTGTGTAAACTCGTCTAGAAGGAAGCGCCTCCTATGTAGAGCAAATTCTCTGGAACTAAAAATTCTGCTTTGTTGCTCAGTTTGCTTGAACAACTGCTTTGCTGCAGTTGTTTAATAATTTGAATGATGACCTTTAGTATTTGTTTTATAGAATCATAGAAGAATCATAGAATCGTTTAGGTTGGAAAAGACCTTTAAGATCATCCAGTCCAAACATTAACCTACACTACCAAGTCTACTCTAAGCCAACCAAGGGTAGAATGGACTAAACCATGTCCCAAGTGCCACATCTGCCCGTTTTTTGAACACTTCCAGGGATGGTGACTCCACCACTTCTCTGTGCAGCCTGTTCCAATTCTTGACCACCCTTTCCGTAAAGAAATTTTTCCTAATTTCCAACCTAAACCTCCCCTGGCGCAGCTTAAGCCCATTTCCTCTCGTCCTATCGCTGACTACTTGGGAGAAGAGCCCAACCCCCACCTCACTACACCCTCCTTTCAGGCAGTTGTAGAGAGCGATAAGGTCTCCCCTCAGCCTCCTCTTCTCCAAACTAAACAGTGGGAGTTAGTTTTCTGATAAACAGTGAGAGTTAGGATTCCAAAGATACAATGCTAGCCAAACTTTACTTATAAATATTTTCCTTAGAATTCAGTAGACATGCTGAATAATGGATTATAGCTAGGCAGTTTCAGGATTAAAAAGGAAGTGGAAATTACATTAACAGATTCTGGCCCCACACC